GGGCCGGCGGAGCCCCGTCTCCTCGCCCGGCGGGCGGCAGGGGTGACCCGCGGAGCCGCGGCGCGCCCGTCCGCACCTTTGCACGGGTTCGGCGAGGCAGAGGGAGAAAAACTCGCTGTTAACCGCCGCCCTCGGGGATTGCGGGCTGCGGAGCGGAGCCGGGCGGCCGGGGCAGGGGGGCAGAGGGTGCCGCCCGCGGAGGTTGCGGGTGGTTGGTGGGGGGCCGGGTGGCACTGGCAGGCTGCATGCACAAGAGGGGTTTTCTAACGAAAAAAACCAAGAGGGGCTTTTTTTATATTTGGAAATACTGGAATACTAACTCTTCCTGGCTTTTCTGGGAGAATTTTCTGGGGCTTTCCAGATATGACTTAGGAGTTTTTGGGAATTTACTGGAAGGATGGGGTATTACCAGTGATACACGCTCCCTTTCTTTTGAAGTGCTGGTCGTATGGAGCACTATCGATTCCACTTCTTTTGAAGCTACCTAACTTTAAGAAAAATCCTTTCCATTTGCAGTCCAAAGCTCCTAAAACTTTTAATGACATTCGTCTAATGGAGAACTCATTTAGGAGTGGCTGAAGAGGTTTCATCGCGATCCTGCGAGGGGTCAAGGGACTTCTTGAGTGTGCAACATCTCTTCCAGAATTATCTGCTTTGATTCTGTAATTTCCTCATTTAAAAAAGGTTCACAATCTGTACAATACAGAGAAAGTAAAAATAAAAGAAGTGACAGTTTTCACCTATTAGCTCCACTTGTTGCTGGACAAACCAAGTTTTAAGTGATGGAATCTATTAGACTGATTTTAATTCAGAAGATTGTTCTTTGTGTCTTCTGAAGCATGTTTTTGAAGTGGCATATCAAAGTTGCTGGTTTCACTGTTACTTGGAAACAAGCATTGCAGTTATTTTTTTGCACTGGAATCAAGAGTTGCAATGGTATACTGGAAAAATGTTGTCCTGTAATTGAGCTCTTGCATTTTTTGTAAACTTCTTTTAAAATATTAAATCTCAGTCCTACAAATTGATAGTTTGCTTGGCATAGATATAGTTAGCATAGAGATTTACAAAGGTAAAGCTCTGTGGAGTTCAGGTCTCCACTTGGAGCTTGAAGATCATGATAGATTTGCCTTACCTAGTTTTTATATTTACTACATGTAGGATCCATTTAGGATCCATTTAGCTCTTCGGGCTAGATTTTTTTAGATATTAATAGACCTCTGTTGATCAGTATACGAAAAGGTTAGAAAATCTGGTTTTCAGGCCATCAAATTTCCCATGAAAATTTGGCAGGCAGCTTGTACCAGTAAAAATTTTCCGGTCCTGTTTCTAGGACAGAGGTGTACGCAACAGCGTGCTCACAAGTGATCTGTCACAAAAAAAGGCTTTGGTAGTCAGGAAGAGTGGTATGCATTCTGCCTTGAAGCAGCAGTGTGCGGTGGGAGTCAGCTGGGCTGGGCTGCGAGGGACTGTGTTTCTCTGAATGGCAGATGAGTGCATGGTGTGACTGTGGTTCTTGCATCGCGGAGGTTCGGTGGCTCAGTAAAGATTATGGTCAAGTTTCATTGCTTTCTTCTTAGTTATTCAAGATTTCTCTCCGAGGCTGGGATTTACTAGTGATGTCCAAGTCCAGAGACGCCCATCTCTGACTGCTGGACTGACTGTACCCAATGCTCCCATCCTTGCCAGAGAGGAAGGAAAGTAGCAGCCAGGATCAGGGCATCCCTTCTGCCTTTCCTGGCTGCAACCCCACCGTTACACTGTATGCAGTTGTTGCTCTTACGGAGTAGCAGGGATGAGTAGAAACAGCGCATCCCAGTCCAGGAACCTGCTGTGATCTTTGCTAATCCTCCAACCTAAATGTCTAGCTCTGTTTTTTTCCAAAACCTTCCATTTAAGCATCATCCTAGCCAGTCTAGCTGTAGGCCAGAGTCCAGTTATGACCTTCCTAATCCCAGTATCGTCCTGTACCCAGTCTCCCTCGTTCCCAGCATCAGGCCAGTCACCTGCAGCCTCCAGTTATGCTGTCAGTCCCTTCGGGCTCTTTTGATATTTTGGTCTTTTCTCTCTGCCCATCCTCACAGAACTATTTTCCTGGATGTCATGCAAGGACAGAAGACCAGGGGTCTGAGCAAAGCAAGGTGGTCTACTGAAGGGAGAAACAAAGTGAGGGGCAGTGAGATTTGCTCCAAAAGATTGCAAAAGTCTTGCAGAGAAGGGTGTGTTGCCACCTTATCTCATGTTATGGCCACTAGTACACAGAAGTACACTCTGTACATTTTGTCAGCCTGAAAATGTGTTTAAACACACTTTTGACATAAAGACGTGTACATGGGCATTTGTAGAATATATCATATGAAAAATGGACAATTAGGATGAGATTGAGCTGCAGATTAAGACACTTGAATGTCTACACCTATTTGACTAAGACACTTACTTGTCTACGTATGTACTAGGTGGTTATGGTCCGATTATGGTCAATGGAGAGACATCATCAATGCTTGCAGTGAGGCCTGGAGATTAATTCAGCCCAAGTAGACACCAAGTGGCTGGTCGGCTCAATAGCTGTAGGCTCTTAACCACTCTGGCTAAATCATCCTTGAGTACGAGGGAGTTTAAACACTCAGATAGTGTCTTAATTTGGACCTGAATCCTTCCCTCAGGTACAAGTCATTTGGTTGTACGAAGATCCCTTTAAAACTATTTAAACAGAATACAGAATGTATTTGTTAATACAGCATACACTCTATGGCATTTAATATGTACTTATCTGCTTTTGTTGTAATTCAGCCTTTTTTAGATCTATCTTCCGGGTTCTGCCACTGCTCCTTGTTCTGTCTCCAGTGAAATCATCTAGTTGTGCAATGGGAAATAGAACAACTGAAATCCGTGTGAAGTATGAGAATATACTAAGCCATGACATCGATGAGCTGGTAGGTAATAGCTCTTGGGCTTTCAAAAAATGTTGATTATTTTTAGATGATAGCAAGTAACAATAAAAAAAAAGCTCTAATGTTAACATACGATAAAAGACCAATTTAAAATCACACATTATCCTGGAACGGTGGCTTTATTTGAGGGGGTGCGACAATTCAGTCTCTTTAAAATCTCTGAAATCTGTGGATGCTGCCTATTTGCATGTACAAATACTGTGATACAGGTATTTGTGCCTGTGGACCATGTAGTTAGACACATGTACCATTTGGCCCTAAATAGTATATTACATTAAAACGTACTCTTTTCTGAAGTAATTTCATGACTACTTCTGTTTTTATCTTCTTATCAAGAGAAGAAAGCATTACGCAACCTGTACTTTGTTCTACTAATTGTAGACTTCTTGACTGAAGTTTTATGTTGTCCACTGAACGCAAATGCACAGAGGGACAAAATTCACACAACAATAAATGTTTCTTTGTATTTTACCTATTTATATATCTTGTTTAGCCAACAAAGAATCAACTTTCCTAGATGGCAGCAGAGAAAAACTTTCTCAGTTGTAAATCTCTTCCATTATGGCTTTATCAGCCAGATTTATTACAGCTTTGCAAAACAGTATCATAACAGTTTACCAATCCATGCCCAAAACCTACCTTCCAACTCTTCATCATGAATTATTAACAACTAAATTCATCTGTCAAGAACACTTTCACGGGAGAAAGCACTTTCCATAGTTGGATTAGCGGAGGCATTTCTATGAAAATGGGATTTTTCTAACAGTTTGTCACTAAAGGAGAACTCACCATTCTGTTGCGGTCTTAAATCAAGATCTATTTGCATGAAATACAAGTGATATACAGTGCTTTTCCAAAGGTGAAATCAGAAGCCATTGTATTTCTTCATACTTACGATCCACCACCATCCTTCAGAGCGTTATGCCAGTGGTTTCCAACCTTTCTCTACCAAGACGTATCAGCCCTTATCTGGAAACAAAATACCTTTAGTGTCAAGGAACGATCATTTAACCTTCAGAAACATTTTGATCATGTTGTGTTTGTTGAGAGTATGCAGAGAGAAGGGTACTTCTCCATAGATAAATGACCTTATCCTGAGCAAGGCACCGAAGTTGGGGAAAATATTCATGGCCATATTAGAATAGATAAGTAGCCCCTTTAGTTTGTCACCTTATTTCTGACAAGGACAAGTGTTTCCTAGAGAACAAAAATTAACCCTCTTGGTGAGCAGTTATAAGATAGCTGACCTATAAGAGAAAACAATATGACAGGAATAACAGCCTCTGGGAGGCAGATCCTGCTGTCTTCCTGTGGTGGAGAGCCATGAGGCGCATCCCAGCTCTGCTGGGGCTGCAGGGTCAGGGAAGCTGGGGGGGGTGTGCTGGGCTGGAGGTGGCAATGCCTTGCCACTGCTCGACTGCAGGATGAAGCTTCATGCACTCGGTGCCCCAGGGTGCCATGAAGGATTTGAATGGAGTAATGCCGTTCTTTCAGATACATTTTGAAAGTCTCTATCTTTTTTACTGTAGTAAATATTATAGAGTTTTTTCGGAGATAGAGTTTTTTAGGAGACTGTATGACAACTAAAACTGTTATCCAAATAAATAAATAAATAAATAAATAAAACCTTAATGAATTAATGATTGTGAAAGGTAATGGGAATGTACTGAACTCTGAAGCTTTTACTTCCTAGAATAGGCAGGCACAAGCAACTACTGTGCAAGTTTCTTCATTTTCCTGTCTTTTATTTTTCCCGGTTTAAGAGAGATGCATTTGTCTTCTATGTAAAATCAGTGTAGAGTCTTGTCACTATAACTTAACAGCAGATACTATGGACAGTGCTGTTTGGGTGATAGCAGCTGCCCACTAGGCACTTTCCTGCAATTGCAGAGCCAAAGTCAGTAACTTTCAGTCCCTCAGCCTGATGTTCGGAGGCAGTTACGGAGATGACTAGTGGGTTATATACTAGACCTCCATAAGTTAATTTGATTTTCACTAAGGCCTTTTCTGAGGCCAGGATTTCCCTTAGGTTGCTTTAGTCACAGCCTTCAGAAATGGTTACTGTACATTATACTAAAGGTGATCTGAGGAAGTCAGTGAGAATGGGTAAATCCCTTAGCAGTTAGCAAATGAAGCCACAGATATATAGGTTTTAGGGTGATTATTTATTTATTTATTTATTTTTAAATCTTGGTGCTGTGTGACTGCAGCAAAACTTCATTCTGTTGTGGTACAAGTAGAGATGTGCATTATCTTCCATATGTTTTCTTTTTTTTTTTTTTTTTGGTCAGTGAATATTTGACTCCCTAAACTCTTGGTTTTGAAAACACTTCCTGGATGAAGTTCTGTTCATCTTGGGTGAACTTCTGAAATACAGGCAATGTTACACAAAAATCTGCAGAAAAACTTTAAGAATTAAGCTGTCTAATGTGTTTATATGCATGCCCAAGTGAGGAGATCTAACACAATATTGTCATGAGCTGCCTTTTTTAAAGCCCTTCGGGTTGTATTAGGTTATCTGGATACAGGCTGAAGAAGAAAGCGAAGGAATTTTATTGAGTTGGGTGCAGTTGTCATCTCGATGACAAGTGTGAAAGTAGAAGAAAAAAAACACCAGAGAATAATCTACTGATAACAGATTATGGTCACGCAAAGGGAGCAAGTGATATTGCTTAGGACATCTTCTGTTAGTGCATATGCAAAGGGAGTGCTACAATCTGTTTAAATGTCTGGGGCATGTATTTATTGAGACAAACATTGACAAACATTGTATTTGATGTCTGCGTAAGATTTAAATATTCCTGTATGTTTTAAAATGCCAAAGAACCAAGTAATTCGACAGAATAGGAAGGTTTAAAATGAATAGATTTGTGTCCAGTTGTGGGCTCCCCAGTATGAGAGAAATATGGAGCTACAGGAGAGAGTCCAGCAAAGGACCACAAAGATGATGAAGGAACTGGAGCATCTAATGAAGAAAGGCTGAGAGAGCTGGGACTGTTCAGCCTGGAGAAGAGAAGGCTCAGGGGGACCTCATCAATGTGTAGAAATACCTGAAGGGAGGGGTAAAGAGGACAGAGCCAGTCTCTTTTCAGTGGTGCCCAGTGACAAGACCAGAGGCAATGGGCACACACTGAAACACAGGAGGTTCCCTCTGAACATCAGGAAACAGTTTCTCACTGTGAGGGTGACCGAGCGCTGGCACAGGTTGCCCAGGGAGGTTGTGGAGTCTCCATCCCTGGAGATATTCAAAAGCCATCTGGACACGGTCCTGGGCAGCTGGCTCTGGGTGTCCCTGCTTGAGCAGGGGGGGTTGGACCAGATGACCTCTAGAGGTCCCTTCCTACCTCAGCCATTCTGTGATTCTATGTGATTCCGTGAATACCTTAAGAAATTGTAGCTGGATTGGGGTTTTCTTTGCCCGCTTGCCAAGGAAAAGCTCAGAATTGTACACTGACCCTGCTACACCTGAGGAGATGCTACAGAACAATTCAGTGTTGACATCGCCAGCTGTCAGTGAGAAGCTTGGCTCACTTCATTAAAAGTACTTCCATGTTTAAACATATATGATATTTTACAGGTAAATATGTCTGCAGAGTATCGTGACAGGTGCTGCAAGAATAAAAAACATGAAAATAGCAAAGTGTTTTTCTGCAATGATACTCAGGTAAAATTTAACTTCTCAGAATTTACTTAAGAGAATACAAACTCAGATGGGTTCTTTGTACCGTCCAGTCCCTGAATAACATATTGTGATAGAGAGTAATATTACCTTTTAATAGTCAAATCATGATATTCAGGGTTGTTCCTTTTTTGAATTTGGAATCACACAATTTGTCAAGTAAATCGATATTTTTAAAATTAAAATATTAAGCAATTCCATATCCAAGAAATGCTTTTTTTCCCCTACTATAAAGATTCTTTTATGTTTTTAATCCAAAACAGTACAGAAAACTTACTTTATTTTGCCAGTGGAAGTAAACAAAAATTTCCCAACATGTGTTTTTGTTTTTCTACAGAAAATCATATTAGCTAAGCTTTTCACTTCAGATCTGAAAGCTTTAAAAGTAATAGTTTTGGCAATCTCAAATGACAGAAAGCACAATTATCAGCTGTTGCTTCAAATTTTATCATGACGATAAAAGGACTGACTCCAAAAATCATTCACTGTTTTCCTAACTGCATCAGCTGATTTCATTACGGCTATGATTTCTCCCTAACACCCTTAAGCTATTATTACTACTACAAATTGATACTTTAAATATTTTGAAGAGATGGCAGGTAGGTCAGATTAGTCATGTATTTTATTGGAAAAGAATGGCACTATGAAAGCAAAAGAAGCTAATGGTAACTGATGGAGCTTTTTTTTAAAGACAAACTAACATTATAAAGAATTAATGGTGCACAGACTTTTCAGGACGTATTTTTCTTGCTCTCTTTACAGGAAATAGAATCACTACAGAGTATGGCATGCAACATGCTCAGATTCTTTCATAAGCAAAAAATCAGCAAAAGCTTCAGATGGAAAGCAGCGTTAGTCTCATGTGGGACACTACAGGTTCTACAGTGCAAATGTGAAAGACATAAAAAAGAAAAGGTGAGTGGTAGCAATGGTCTACAGTTTACTGGAAGTATGCGACATTCTTTAGAGCTCTTCAACACAAACTATCATATCTACCTCTCAAAGGTACAACTATCGTGCACACATTACACGCATGATGAATTTTGCTCTGTATAGCATATGTCTTGTAATGGGCATTAAGCCCAGTGCAAAGGGTAAGACCCAGAAAGACAATGACCCAGAAGTCTGTAGGGAACATAAATTCCCTGGTTCAGTACTGAAATACCTGAGTTAATTCTCCAGTAAAAGACAAAGAGCATACTTGTGCGAAGAAGGCCTTTAACTTCGGTAGTGTATAAAATCATAGTTGTTACTTCTCATTGAGGTTCTACCCTAAGATTAAAGTTTAATTTGGTTTGTTGCAATGATTAGTGGGAGTTTCTCTCCTTTCCATAATCCCTTTGATCTTTATTTTAACCACAATACCTCAAACTCAACAAAAACAGTTAGATATGAAAATATTTGGATTTTTAGTCATTGGCAGAATCTGCTTTTTGATGTGTCACTCAAATCTAGTGAAATGATTTACAGACTACCATAAAAAAAAAGAGCGTTCTTTTAAGTGTGGCTCTCTGTTACCTATTGAACACAAAAATACTGACCAACATCAAAAAGCCTCCCCATAGGCACCAAGGGATATAATTCTTTATGACTAGCTTAAATAGTTGGATTGAGAGCTGCATTTAACTCATTCTTTTTCTCCTTGAAATGGAGAAACTCTTATAATCTAGGACCAGATCTTCAAAGTAATGTTGGCATCTATATTTTGCTTAGCCACCTGTGGTGAATCCAATGTTTGCCTTACCATAAAAGGTATCCCAGTTAAGTCATAGAAGTCAGAGTGTCACCCTTGAAACTCCTGCCTAACCTTATGGATGCCTGGTTTCATTTAAAGACCAATTACAGTCGTTTGGTAAAAATCATGAACAGTCGTTGAATATGGACAAGAACCGTGGCCCTGTCTCTGGGTGAGACCCTGAACACTAGGCCACAGCACCAACCCCTGGGAACAGGCCTGTCTTGTTCCACCAGTCTCAAGGTACCACACATATCTTTTGAAGTTTGGCTCACATTTTAATTGGCTTTATTTTTCCAGTCCTTCAAATAATGAAAGATAAATTTGTCGTGGTTTAACCTCAGTTGGCAACTGAGCACCACACAGCTGCTCGCTCATTCCTCCCCCCTCCTCCCCCGGTGGGATGCGGGAGAGAATTGGAAGAGTAAAAGTGAGAAAACTTGTGGGTTGAGATAAGAACAGTTTAATAATTGAAATAAAATAAAATCCCAATAATAATAATAGTAATAAGAATAAGAATATACAAAGCAAGTGATGCACAATGCAATTGCTCACCACCCACCAACCGATGCCCAGCCAGTCCCCGAGCAGC